AGAACATCAATTAATATATTTCGATATCGAATTTTACATATTTGAATACCCAAGCACATATTTCTTCAGTAAAAAAAGCGAAATAACACTCTTTCTGGCTTGTATCTACATAAACATATATACAGGCAATTTATTAACCACCCATATTACACCCAAATCTCACGTTTCACCAAAAGTAATTCTGAATTTCTATATATTTTCGAATGCGAATCATAACTATTAAATTTTTGAATTTTTGCACGACTCTAAAATTTCAACAATTAATTAAATTTTTAATTTGAATTATTGACAGTCTTCTGCCTGTACGGCCTATCAAATTGATCAAGCAATACTTACTCCAAAAATATTGTGAAATGACGTGACTTACAATTTTGGAATCAGGAATATCTACTATTTTTGCAATCTTCTAGTGATAATAGAAGCCTATTATTATAAACATTTGTTTAAGTTAAATTTAAGGTTAAAATTTGGTCAAGAACATGCAAATTAAACCGCTATAATTCTATAATCAAGATTTTAAATTAATCTTCAGTTCCTTGTACTCTTAAGTTCTCCAATCTCTATGAAATATTCATTTGATTCTGAAGTTTGGGGTCTCTGTCTACCAATGATTTATAGTTGCGCTCCTATTTATATCAACCAAATCGTTAGAGAGAAAATTCTAGTTCATATAGTTAGTTTTTTAATTTAAATCGATAACATTACCTATTCTAATTTGCAGTATTACTAATTTCATTAATATTTGTTTCTGAACTTTCAAAGAAATGAATAAATTCTATAAAATGGAAGAAACTGAATTTCAGTAAATAAAAAATTAAGTATTTCAATTTCAACAAACCTCTTAACTGTTAAGAATTCGTTATTCTACCTCAAAAGTAGTTTTAAGTTCATGCAATTTTTTACAATGACTCGCTTCTATCAACCAGACAGTTGCTTCTAAGTTCTTGCTTTGTTCAGTTACTGTTTCTCTAAGTTTGAGATGCTCAACAATAAATCTTTCAAATGTTCTTATAAAATCATAAACAGTCAGATAAATCAAATATGGCTTTATGACGAAAATGATTTATATTATTTATACCATTAGGCTTTACGTGTTTGACATTTCTTTACAAAATCTTGAGAGAGTTGAGAATCCATAAGCAGGTGATTCAGATTTATTATAAGGTTAACTGTTTGGCCTGAAATGTCTTGATTTTTTAAAAGACCTGGCGTTTCGGAATCTAAGTCATAACGATAAAGATTTGATTACGCGACTCCCTTTTTTGTGGTAAAATTTTTAATGCAGTAATGTGTCGAATTAAGTATATATTTTCTTTTTATATAACCTGTCACCAACTTGATTACAAAATTATATCACACACGATTACTGAAGTAACAAACATAATAATGTTACTTTCGTTGTTTTTTAAGTTTCGATAATTTATTTTATTTTTTATTTGAAATCATTGAGTATGGCATCGGCTTTGTTTTTGACAAAACATTTTAGCGAACTTTATATAATTTTAATAAACTTTATATATAATAAAATAACTTGCGATCATTTAATATTATTATTCATTAAACATTTTATAAACATTTTATTATTTATTTTATTATTCATTTTTAACACTTTTATATTAGAAAAATTTTATTATTTATTTTTAACATTTTATATTATTTATTTAAATATTTTACATTTAAACAATTTATTTTTAAACATTTACATTTATTATTAATAATAAAATATCTATTTAAAAAATATAAACATATAAACGAAAATAAAAAATTGAGATACTTTGGTTTCGGATGAGATACTTGGTTTTGGAGAAAATTTTCTCCTACTTGTCCTAACCACCGTGTAGAGGTGTATCTCATGGTTGGAAAGGCGAACCCAACCCCATTTTTCTCACTTTACCGGTACTTGTCGTGGCTCGGTTCCTGGCTTCGAGTAGGTTGTTCTTCTTGAATCATTAATACTTTCGTATTTCATCAAGGTAGCTTTAACTCAATTTATCCTCTAGAGTTCAAGCATCCGTATTTTCAAGATAAACGAAAAATAAACAGTATATTAAATAAACGGTATATCAAAAAACAGTGTATTAAAATTAATTACAAAATAAATAAAATGTGAAATTAGTATTATGTTGTATTGGTATTATATAAGATATAGAAAAAGTAAGAAAGCGATAAGAACAATAGCGTAGGAGAGAAAAAAAGGCATCCTTATATAACTTGCGATTTTTTTTTTGATCGCGTAAAATCGAATTAATTACGCAATTTTATCAATTTTATCACAAGACAAAAAAAATTTCAAAGATTATTCGTTATTAATTTCCTTAATAAGAAATTAGGCAGTCAAAGACGTATGTTATATTTACATGAAAAGGATATCGATATTGTTTTTTATAAATAATATCTTTAAAGAAACCGGTTTGGGACCGAGTTTGGATTCTAGACCACATGAATCTATGTGCAGTTATTATACACCTTTTCATGCAATGTATCCTTCTTGGGTATAGTATAGATTTTAATCGGTAAAATATACGTTGTTAGAAACTTGTTAGAGCCAAGTTCGCGAGAAATTTTGTGTTGTAAAAGTTTCGCAATCCATTTTCCATTCATCACCATGGCGATAGGAGCCATTGAAACACAGCAATGAGCTTATCCTAACAAGGTAATATCCGCTTCGCCCTATTAGGTGGCATATATCATTTGTTTCAATCACGTAAAATCAAATCGATTACGCAATTTTATTACAAGACAAAAAAAATATTTCGAAGAGTTGATTCGTTATCAATTTCCTTAATTAGAAATTAGACAGTCGAAGATATTATGTAATACACGTCACACTCTGGTTATATCGACACCTCAAAACAATCAAGAAATTGTCTGATACATCCAGATACCGTCTTAACCAGAGGTATTTTCATATTAAGTATATAGGATGAATCTCGATATTGTTTTCTATGAATGATACCTTTAAAGAAACCAGTTTGGGACCGAGTTTGGATTCTAGACAACATGAATCTATACGCAGTTATTATACCCCTTTTCCTGCAATGTATCCTTCTTGGGTATAGTATAAGTTTTTAATTGGTAAAATATACATTATTAGAAACTTGTTAAGGCCAAGAAATTTTGTGACCATAGGAGTCATTTGCAACACAAAAAACACAGCAACGAACTTATCCTAACAAGGTAATATCCCTTCGCCATATTGGGTGGCATATGATTTTTTTTTTTTGAATATTGTTTTTTTTTTTGATCATTGATTACACAATTTTATCAATTTTATCACAAGACAAAAAAAAAATATGTCAGAGTTGATTCATTATCAATTTCCTTAATTTTAATTAGAAGTTAGACAGTCTAAGACGTTATATAATATTTGTATGAAAAGTTACCCATATCGATATTGTTCTCTACGAACTGATCAGAGTGATACATCCAATACTGCTGTCTAATTGCATACTGTCTAATTGCATATACTTTCTAATGCATAAAAAATTTTCAGTTTTTAATTAACACAAAAAAATGGTTCTTTTACAATTTAATGCATATACTGTCTATATGCATAAGAGAAATCACTGACAGATAGCATGCAATTAGACAGTATCGACTGTATCTTTAAAGAAACCAGTTTGATGAATCCATACGCAGTTATTACACCCCTTTTTCCTGCAATGTGTCCTTCTTTGGTATAGTATAGGTTTTAATTGGTGAAAATGTACATTGTTAGAAACTTGTTAAAGCCAAGTTCGCGAAAAATTTTGTGTGAAAGTTTCGAATAACGGCCATTTCCGTTCATCTTCATAGAAGTCATTTCGCGCACAAGGAACACGGCACGAATTTATCTTAATAA